ATTTCAATCTGTATTTAACAAATCTTTAGAGCTCTTTTTGAACCCTACCTTTATATGAACTATGGATGCACACGTGTGTTCACTTAATTTTGAGCCTCAAATAAAATATATAATGCTTTCCTATCAACCAACTTTCAATTACTTGCATGCAAGGATATTAATTTTCATAAACAACGTATTATGCATTTATCTAGGGCAGCATGTTAGCATGAGCCTCTCTGCCCCTACTGAAGCATACCCATGGTACATACAGAGTAGCAAAATACACTGAGTTTCTAAGTTCTCAGTTTCTATATTCAGCTCTCATGCTTATCTATATTCATAATTACTCTTTATGATAAAAATAGAAATAATGCATTTTAGTGGTTAATAATTACATTTTTATATTCATACTTCAATTAATTCTGATACTTTATGGAAATTCTTGTAAAAGTATTATCATATTTCCAAGTATCATCATAATATTCAGATAACTAAATACATCAAACTAAGACTCATCTTGTTCACTAATAAAGTATATCTGCTAATCTAAATGAAAAGAATGGCTTTTAAAAGAAGTTAGTAATACTTTTTAAGAATTAATTTTGACCCATAGAATAAAATGTTACTCCAGTCATGTACCTTCAGTCTCTATATTTACAAGAAAATACAGAATGACTTTCTCAAATGAAAGAGAAATTAGTTAACCATTCCAGTAAATGTCTTAAGAAGCACACGAAACAAAAGATAATCAAATGATAAAGTCAAACAGTCAACATCTGTTGTATGTTTATGTATGTTTGTGTAAGTATGAATATAATCTAAAAGGAAAGCTGGAAATAAGAAAACGCACTCATTTTTCTATCTGTGGCCATACTGAATCAAATGCTTTGGGAGTGTTTGTGTACAAATAGCTAAACCCTTTGCAGTTGACATTTTCTGTACTGTTGCCATATACTCGGAATGCTCACACCTGATAAAGTACTGTGAAAATATAAATATGGTAAATAGTGCATTTCTAAGGATCAAAATGTGAGCACTTGGGTTCAATGCTAAGAGTTCGTGCATAGCCTTTGCAATGGTCTGGTTTAAACCCAATCAGAAAAACCAACCAACCAGATAAACAAACAAACAGAACTGTAAGCCTTTTTTTCTACCAGTGCTAAAAATATTGTATGTAGGTTGAAATTTTTGAGTCTCTATATTGCAAGCCTGGAAATTGTTATCACTTTTTTTCTTGTTTTACATAAGGAAATGAAATCATCTTACCTGTCACCCTGATACCAAGAAAGAGCTTAAAATGTCAAGATTCCCACCCCCAACCTTCATGGTTTATTAAGCAAAAAGCTAAAACTCTCCATGGTCCCTTCTGGTTCCAACAATCTATGATTCAAAGGGATGTAATGGCTCTCTTTTCTAGTTCAGTAGTGTCCTGGTGAGGGAACAATTTTACTGTCCTTTTCTGTGGGGTCCTGCCGGTTAATCTAAAAGGAAATGAATTACAGCAGTAAGACAGGGCTACAGAATGAAGCCATTTAGTTTTACAAGTCTATTGTGTCCTTACATGTGTTTTATGGGCCTGGTCCTATTATAAGCCAAGAAAAATATCCTTAAACAAACTTTACTTGCAGTCTCTTTCCAGTGAAAATATTTACTATTTTATGATTGTCTTTCAAGTCATTTTAGCCAAGTTCCCCCCTTCTATGTTCCTTTTCCAAGAACCTTCTATCCCACTTTCTCAAACAGACAAAACATCCAGAAGCGAGAAACTGGACTTTTCAAATAGAAACTGCTGACAACTGTCAGCACTTTAGTGAGGCATTACTGACTGTAGCTTCAGTGAATGAAGCTTGATTCACTGCGGGTGCATCATTTTCAATGCAGAGCTGTTCAGCAGTAATTGGCCAAGAATCCCTGCTGAGAAAAGCACTTGTCAAATAATGCTTGTTTACAAATACATCTCCAGACAGCAAAAAGTGGCAGTTACTGAATAAGTTCAGGGCCACCTCCAAAAATTCAGAACTGTTGGCACAGACCCTTTCCTTATTAAATTTCTTAAAATTATTCACTTGTTGATGTGCTTACTACTGCTGTCCTCCTTGATCAATTTGAAAATGAGGTCTTCCGCTAAAACACTTGAAATTAATTTTTTTTAATAAAGGTTTGTCCATCTTAATGCAGACTGTTTCTTCCAAGTGTGGTTTATGCCCACACAAGTGAATAAATATTGGTTGTATAATTTGTTTAGAATGCAGTTATCTATGAAAGATAAAAATCAAAAATAATTGGAAGAACAAGTATAAATGATGACTCACATTTATTTCTTCTTGTCTTACATTTTATCACACAATCATATCATGTATATTCCATGTATATAATGTATATGCACACACATATATGACTGAAGAATCACTAAGCATTTCTGTAAGTTGCAGATAATAAATTTTATGAATCAATTTATTAATAAATTTATCATGCCAATCAAATATTTCTTCACTTGACCTTCCAAGGTTCTACTCTAAAAAATAAAAACAAGTTGAAGATGTATTTCATCTTATCCATTACATAAACAAGGAAGAGTGATGCTATGGATCTTTTAATTATGTCACTGTTCCATGTATAGGAGGAGTGGTATAGAAAATGTAAAGCAGAAAAGAATCCAGATTTCACAACCCAGGAGGATCTGGGGTGGTATTTGAGATGGTATCCTGTTGGGCAGTGAAGGAATGAACCAGACAGACAACCTCAAAGAGTACTAAAATTAAAATTTTAATTATACATCACAGTATGTTCCTTAAACAGCAGGCACACTTGATTCTGGGTGTCTTCAGAGAACCAGGGGGAAAGTACAGCTCGTTTGCTTTTGTTAGACCCTCCACCCCTCATCTGCATGTAACCCAGTCAGCTGCATGCTTTACTAGCTGGGAAAGACTGTGCAACCTGTGGGTGTTAAAGCTAATGCTTGCCAGGCTCCATTCCACAAGATGCAAGTTTTGCTTATGGCACCTTTGGAGACTTGCACTATTCCCCCACTTCCTTCCGCTTGCTCTCCTCTCCTTAGTCTTGGCTCTTGTTCACACTGGGTGTCACACTCCTTGATAATTTATTTCTTCAGTTCTCGTATAGAGACTTGCTTGAGTCCACTTCCTTTCCCTGTCACACACATGCTTGTAGATAGGTGGTTGGAATTACTATGTAGAGGAAAGGATGATTGATACTACCCTTGAATCATTTTGCAGTTCAATCAGGATGGCCCTTTGGTTGGAATAAAACAGTTAAAAGCCCCTCCTCCTTCCTCCTCCCCCCTCCTCCCTTCTCCTCCCTCCTCTTCCCTCCCCCAAAGTCCCCCTCCCTTGCATTAGCCTTCTTACAGCCTTTGGACTTCTAATCTAATGATCTTAGCATAAGACGTTAATAAAAGATACAAGTCTAAAACAAACAAACAAACAAAAAAATACATCACTTAAAAAAAAAAAAAACTTTCCGGGGTGGGGGGAAACTTGTTTGGCTTAAAGCGTGGCTTTATTACTGACAGATATCGACAGATACACATATTCCTCTGAACAGATGTTTAATAATAAACATAGTGAGAGAGTCAGTGGGGTGGGGTGTGAGTCTCCATCTGCCCTGCTTTCGCAGGGTTCCTTGGGAACTGGCAGCTCTGGGGGCTACCAGCTCAGCGTCTTCTACAGCAGACTGAATCCATGCTAGTCACGAGAGCATACACCACTCTACTGCTGCTGCTACTTCATCTTTTCAGGTCCATCATCTCCTATCCCTAAGTGCAAGGGTTTATTCAAGGTTTTACACCTCAAGAGTCTCATCCACAACCCAAAGCTAAAGCCCCAGGCTTCTAGACAAGAGGACAGGGTTTTGATGTTTCCACAGTGAACAGGACCACTCCTGGTGACAAGAATCTGGTCTGAGATGCTAAGTGCCTTTTCCCATGCTCCACCCTCCCGGATGGGAAGGCTTCAGCCCTTAAATCGAGACCAGAGCAAGCTGTGAAGTGTGAAAGAGGAGCATCAGATCTAGAGAGTGGCCAAGAGGACCACAGGCAAGGCCACACAGAATGGAGCAAGGCTGCTTTCTCAGAGGCTGAGACCAGCTCAAGCAAAAGAACAACACAGGTGGTGTTTCTGCCTCCTGCCTTCAGATTTATTCTCCCAGAGGAAGGCAAACAGTCCGGAGCAAAAGGCTGGGGATAGGAGGGTTGGGTTCTTCAGGACCTGGTGCCTCTGGCTAGGACAGATCTTCTCTCACAAGATAAGCATTGGTGGGTTCCGTGAACAACTTCCTAGCATCCACATTTCCGTGAACAACTTCCTAGCATTCACATTGCCTATCTCCTCTAACACCATCCTACCTTCCCGCCTTCCTCTCTCTACCTTTGCTTCGGAGTGTTAGAGAGCCCCCAAATAGAAGGGCACCCGTCAGTTTCTGCCCTTCACGATTACCTCCTTCAAAATTAAAGTTCTTGTTACCCAGCCCGGAATAGCAGCTAGTGGTGCCCTAAATAACAGTTTCCCCGGGCAGACACTATCCCCAAAATAAAAGCACCAGGCACCCTGACATCGTCTTCAAATACCAGTATTAAATTAGGGGTTTCTAAAAGCCCCACGGATCCGAAGAGCCTTGTCTTCGCCTTTCTCAACTAGCCGGATGTGTCACTTCTCCAGGTTCCCAGGACCCAACCGCACCCAACCTCCCAGCTCAGGTCTCAGACCTCTCTTTCCAGCGTGCTTCCAACTCTTCCCAGCCCCCAACCAGCCTCGGTTCCCAGGCAGGTTCCTCGCCTGGTAAGCACTCTGCGGAGATGTCAAACAATGCAACCAAAGATACCAGAGGAGAGAGAGAGAGAGAGATCCGGAAACGCCAGCAAAAGCGGACAAACATTAATTGGAAGCCAAGAGCGAGGTTTGGTCTAGGTAGCGGCGCCTGGAGCGCTGTGACCGGCAGACACAAGCTCCACCTCACCCATCCACCCCAGGGCGCCGCGCTCCCCACCTCCATCACCCTACCTTCGTTACTGGGGCTGGCCAGAAGGGTCCGGAGCGCCGCACACAAGAGAAGACACGTCCAGAGGGGGCCCTTAAGAGGTGCGGAATAGCAGCCTGCCAGAGAGGCAGGGACAGGGCGGGTGTCGTCGCCGCCACCTCTGCCCTGGGTCCGTCGGCGTCCCGCACCGCGGGGCCCGGAGCCCCGCATTTTCTGCTACCCTCTTTCCTCCTCGATGTCCCGCGTAGCTCAGTCTAAGGTTCAGGCTCGGTGGGAGAAGCGAGGGAGACGCGGGACTCCTCCTCCTCCTCCTCGTGGGGGGTCCTGTGCCTTCTGGCCCTCGACCCCTCCAAATGCGGGAATCAAGGATCCGCGGAGAGCCCTGAAGTTTGCTTCTAGCTCGGAGTCGCCCTCCGTTTCGGTTGGATGAGAGGAATTAGGAGTTCTTGATGACTAGTGTAGTCCTGGGTGGTCTCAGTCAAGGGTCTGCAGAGGGTCCCGAGTCCCGCTCCTTTGCCTCCTAAGACTTTTCTTTTTTTGCTTGTTCTTTCTTTTAGAATTGCGATTTTTATTTATTTATTTATTTTTTAAAATTTTAAGTGCCACCAGGGTTGGAGTGGTGGTGAAGGTTCCCTTTCAGTCTTCAGTGCTGAAACGGGCGAGAGTCAAGAAGACGAGTCATCTTAAATCAAGAGGATGTTTTCCATTTAAAAAAAAAAAAAAAAAAAAAGGAGGGAAAAAAAAAAACAACTGCAAAGCCGGGGTGACTATGGCTAAACGGGAGAAGAGTAGAGCCACCACCGTGCTGTGGCCAACAGCGAGGAGGAGAGCGGAGCCCAGGCAGCGGTCTTGGAGAACTGGAGAGGCCGGCCGAGGGAAGTCAAATGGTTGCGGGCTGAGCGCGGCCGGGGGCGGTGCGGCGGGCGGAGCGGGCTGGAGCGCGGGCCCGGGAGCGGAGCCGAGCCCGGCGGGCGGCTCGAGCCGCTGCGGTTCCCGCGGTTCCCGCGGTTCCCGCGGCTCAGCGCGGAGGCGGAGTGTGCGCGGCGGCGGCGGCGGCGGCGGCGGCGGCGGCCGGGGCGAGCTGGCTGGCGACTGCACCCGCGCTGCGCGCTCCTGCTGTGTCTGGAGCTTCCGCGTCTCCCCGAGCCGCCCGACTCTGCGCCTCCCACCTCCTCCTCCTCCCTCTCCCTCTCCTCCTCCTCCTCCTCCTCCTTCCCCCCTCTCCACCTCCCCGCCCTGCGCTCCCCCGCCCTCTGCTGCTCGAGGCCTCGCCAGTGACAAGCTACTGTAAGTGTGACTCGCTTCCACGAAGTCGCACACCCACAGAGGGAAGTAATCGGCAGGCTGCGGTGGTGAGTGTTGCCTAGCGGTCTCCGAGAAAGGCGCGTCCGCCTCCTGGGATAATTAGGGCAAAGAATCCTCCCGACGATGCCTGCGAGGACCAGAGGTCCCCGAAGGAGGACGGGAAGCCAGCCCTATCTCAGCCCTCAGCAGGAGGAGCCGCGGGTCCCTGGGTCTGGCATTGCGCCTGCTGCCCTTTGCAGGCTGTGGCACCAACAACCTTGTCGTCACGTAACAGCGCATTCGCAGGCTCTGCTGGTCCGTGGCTAGTTTCTTAAACACCCGTATCCCTCACTGCCTTTGACCCTTCCTGTTCTTCTGGAATGAGATAATTACTCAACGTGTTCTTGAGAAGTGAACGGTACACTATCTAAACTCAGCGACAGTGGGTCGGTTTGCGATCTCACGGAATCAAAGAACTTGACTGTTGGCATTTGTACTATGCTGGGTAATACATGAGGATCTAATGCGTTTATTTCAATGACAGGACGCTTTTGTGATAGAATACTTTAGTAGTGAAATTACATAATGGGAAAACATGCAGTTAATTCCAGTGAAATTAACACGGGTGTAATAACGTCGGAGTTTTAATTTTTTTAAATTACTTTAATTGCACGTGGTCCATTACACTGAAAGTGTAGCAAATAACTAGGGGAAAGGGCAGCTTAAAAGCATCCTTTTTTTTTTTTTTCCTTCTGCTTCCCCTCTGTTGTGTCTTCCTGCTTTAATATCCTCCTTCAATTTACTCATTCATTGTTTCAAAGAGATACACCAGAATGGCAATTTCAGTACGCTAGCATTACATATCAGAATGCAAAGTGTCTCCCCAAAACGTGTGATTTTAAAAGGAAGGCGTCTCATTCAATTCCAAGATCGGGTTCGTGTTCACACCTACTCAAGCTAACTGAACACCAGTCTGACACACCTCGACTCTTGATGTCTTCACAATAAATTTGTCACCATTGTTGGCTGATGACCTTTGGGTTTTGTTTAGATGCTTGCGATAAAGGTGAAAGAACAGAGCAGCGGTGACTCACTATTTTGAAGAGGTGGAAGTTTATCTTTGATTCCCCCGCCCCCCAAGATGTTTTGGCACTAGGAAGCTGAAAACAGATTCATGCTATTGTAATGTGCTCCAAATGCATGAAGCAAATAGAGAGGTAAGGCAGTGAATCCGTCTTCCAGTTTGGCAAAAATCCTCACTGTGAGGAGGAAAGTTAAAATTTATGTCTATTTGAGGATGGTTCAAAATGGGAGTCTTTCCCCCACCTCTGTCCATAGCTAAGCTACATTAGATTTTCTATAAGGAATAGCAGCAAGAAACAGAGAGCTTTCAGTCCACGCTAAAGCTAATATAAGACACTGGCAGTTCAGTGGCCACTGAGCCTCTGCTTTACTTCTTTAGGCCTCAGTGATCTCATTAATGAGATCAGGGATTTACTTAGAGGGTCTCCAAGCTCCCACCTCCTCCTTTTTCCGTGTGTGTGTGTGTGTGTGTGTGTGTGTGTGTGTGTGTGTGCGTGCGTGCTATCAGCCTAGAAGAGTTAATAATGTATAATTATTGAATATCGACTATATAGAAATCAAGTTTATTTAGCCTAAAATTTATATTCTTGTATTACCAAAGGCTTAGTGTGTGTCTGGTTTGATGAAGTTTTAAATTCAGTATTCCCTTTTTCTGAAATGTCTTTCTTATGCTTCTCTCACTTTGGTGCCTGTTACTCCTTTCTAGAGAAGTCTCCTCTACTCAGACATGAAATGGCCTCACTATACACTACACTGCTTCTTAGGACTGAAGGAAAGCCAGATATTCAGGCCTGAGGTTTTCCTGACAAAATATTGAGTTGGTTTGTTTCTTGGAATGAGCCACAGCTTGCAATTTCTATCAGTCAACACAATAGCAGTATTTTCTGAATGTAAAGCTAAAGAAAATTACCTGACCTCTCATATATATATATATATATATATATATATATATATATATATATATATATATATATCTCACAAAGATTTTCTTGGGCATTGGTCATATGACCATAAAAGCATGGTCTTCTACTTGAGGTGAATGATTTAAGTTTCTTGGACATTGGTCATATGACCATAAAAGCATGGTCTTCTACTTGAGGTGAATGATTTAAGAGATTCAGAATGCTTAATGTACAATACCTTCTATTGTCCCAGTGTTCGTTTATTTATTTATCACACTCATTTGAAAGAAATAACAGCTGTAAAAGGAAGTACCAAAAACAATGATAAAATTTTATTTTTACCAAAAGATTGTTAATCAGAGAATGTTGTATTGGTGGCTCGGCTTTGGCCTCAATTTCAAAGACTTTGTACTTGGCCATATGTTATTTTCTTGTAATATAATCAATCTTAGCACACTTACACCAAACCAAGGCATTGAATACAAACTAGTCTTTTTTTTTTTTTTTCACTTGTGCTACAAACTTGCCCAATCAATGTTAGGACATTTATTAGTTTGGATGGTCTATCATCTGTATTTGTCATAGAAATTATGTTTCAAAATGAGAAATTTTCTGACTTCTTAGATCTTTGCTTATATGGCTTTACTACTAAGTTGGATTATTGTTTCTTTTATTTACTATTTTTTGTTTGCTCTTAGAAAATTATGTAGAGCAACACTGACCGTGCACCTTGAGAGTTGAGTGTCCTTGTATTTACAATGTTGTAGATATGTTAAATGAATTTATAAGCCTGCATTTATCTTTTCTACATTCAAAACAGAAGAAAAGCAGTCTTGACAAAAACATTGTATTATTTACTGAAAATTTACTTTCCATAAAGTACTATTTGATGATTTTACATAAATCACTTCACCCAACATATAGGTGGGTGTAATTATTAGTCCTATGTTAACGAGAAAATGAGGGAACCAGGTTAGGTGACCTATGTCCTCACACAGCTGGTAGAAGGTTCAAATTTGAACACAAATATTGGCTTTATTCAAACAGATGTCGATGTAACAGAAGTAAACATAGTTTACATTTGTTTAAACATAATGATAAAAAAAAGGCTAAGAAGGTGATCTCAAAAGTCTACCTTAATGGGAACAATTTGATAAAATATTACACTTTTAAGATTGATTTAAAACAAAAACAAATATCATAGTAAACAGAGGATGATAAACAGGGAAATAAAGAAGCTAGAGATATCAGTAAATGCTACTTGGAGACAAAGATCAACAATCACAAAATGTATAGTATAGCACTCTGTGTGTGTGTGTGTGTGTGTGTGTGTGTGTGTGAGAGAGAGAGAGAGAGAGAGAGAGAGAGAGAGAGAGAGAGAGAGAGAGAGAGAGAGAGAGAAAGAGAGAGAGAGAGAGAATGAAAAGATACTGTAGAGATATTGGACCATCAGGATTAAGGATTGTGAACAACTAACATTAGTACAGATAAATGACAAAAAACTCATTTATAAACCATTGTAGAAAATAAAATTCTCTACAATTTTTTGATTTAAATGACTTTTATCATTTTTGCATCATTCTTTTCAGGGAGAATTTAGTTAAAGTGAGAGTGTAGCAAATAATCAAAATATTGCCTAGAGAAACCACAAATTGCCACAGTGAAGTTATTTTCTAGGATAAAAAATAATAATATACTTTTTATATCCTGATTTTTTTAATGAATGTAAAATGGTTTATTCAATATTAGTTTATCATTAAAACATTTTTTCCTGAACATCTAGATTCCATTCTCTCTACTAATGAGTCACATTTCTAAGATTTAATGGGAGATTATATTTAATTTAGAGGTTGTTAGTTATCAGTTGGGGATTTAAGTTAAAAGCCAATAAATAATTGCATTTTAAGAAATTAGTAAACAGGGCACACGAGATGGGCTTAGTTGTTAAAAAAGCAACCTCTATTCTTCCATAAGACATGAGTTTGGTTCCGAGAACCCATAGTGGGCAGGTGATGCCCACTTCTGGTTCTATGGGCTTCCATATGACACATGTACACATAGTCACACACACACACACACACACACGTATCATACATACATACATAAATCATACATGCATGTATATAATTAAAAGGAAATGGGTAAAAAAGAAATGAAATATAATTTCTTTCTTAGCAAAAATTAAAACATTCCATTAGAAACTTAAGTTGCTAAGCATAAATATCCTAATCACTGGAAAAACTTTCCCTTTTCTTTGACTTTTAAGAACAGAGTAGAGTCTACACGGTTGCTAAAGGAACTCTGTAGTAAAGAAGGAAATCATGTACAAATATCACAGAAAGCCCAAGAGCACAGTGGGTCATGCTGGTTTATTCTTTAATCATCCTCACACCAACGTTCAAAGTTGGAGGAAATTACATGGAGAAGGCCACTGCAGTTTATGAGGAACCAAACTGACTCACTAGGATGTTCTTTGGTGGCTGTGTTTGCCTCCAGCATCTTGGGCAGCTGGTGTCATGTAAAGAAGTGGACAGTGAAAATAATAAGGACTCTTGAGGCTGAAGAGGTAGGAAAGCATCTTCAAATGATGCTATTATGGGAGGTAAAATTCCATTAAATTCTGAGCAATGTTGTGGACTATAGATGTATATTTAATATCATGTGAAAAATAAACTGTAATAAGCTCCATAATCTCAGTACAGAGTGTTAAGTTCAGTACTATGCTGAATTAAAAATATAACTAATTGATACACACAATATCATATTTTATAACATATGTAGTAGTTTGCTAGGAGCAAAAACTACTAGGTTTTCTCAATGGCATAGGGAAAAATAGAGATCTATGTGACTAGGTTTTACAGCCATTGTAGATAGCCTGTGAAATGAGATTCTTGGTAAAATTCAGCGATGACAGTCTCATGTACTTGCTGGTGGCATGCTAATTAGGAGCCTCTTTGGTAACATGTTTTAATAATTTTATCATGCCTTTCTAATGTGGTTAATTAATTAAGCCCAGGAACTTCTAAATTTTTCAGCAAATTAGTTAAACTGGACTAAATATTAAAGCTGGGTCATATTGATGAATATAAATAAGTAATACTCTGATGTACAACGAGCACTAGTGAATGTAAAGGAATACAAGGCAATTCTCACAGAGCTATTTAAGTGCTCTGAAATATATTTATCTATATAAGAAGATAGCTACAAAATGTCAAATTACCAAGGTATAATAAAAGGTAATCTATGCTCTAAATAAATAAAATAAATCTATGCTTGTGCTCAATTCTATATGTGAACAGTGAGGTAATTTAAATTTCTTCATTTGATATTTTTATGTTACATATTTTTTACAATTCACGTTTATCACATGTGCAGTGATAGACTAACAGTAAAAAAAATGAAAAGTCCTGCAAAGCAGTGTGCATTTCCACACTGAGCAGGCAAAGACAATGAAGGAGGAGAGCGACAGAGAAGAGCAGAAAGATGGTGCCAGCGAGCATTCTTATCTACAATCATTTCTCACCCATTCTATGTACATCGGACCATCATTTGTTTGATGTAAAGATTTTTATGATCTCCACAATATTTCTAAGTATTCCAAAATTCTTTAGAGGGAATAGATAGGCTCTGTCATGTACTTCATGTCTCAGTGAAGTCTCTGAAAAACCCTCCAGCTGCCTCAATCACTGAGTGTATTTCGCATCTAAGTTTGTGTTGTTTTTAAGTGCTATGTCCTGCAATATAACAGAGAATTGCATTTTTTTCATTAAATATTTTCCTGATATGCATTGTCCTGTATCTGTCCCTCTTCAAAGACCACTTATTACTTCCCTTTTTCAGGCACTTAAAATTCTTACCTTTTCCACTGAACAAATTATTTCCAAAATCAGCCTCTTCATCAACAGTCTTTGGACAAAATCACTTGTAGAGGCTCCACCCACACAATTCAATAACCACAACTCAGAAAACTCCATAGCAGCTATCACAACTCCCTTCTCTACCGCCTCAGCACGGCCTCAGTTTCTTAAAGCACACCATGTTTAATTCCTCATGCAATTTGTAAAAGTTTAGCACGCCAGAGAAAGGACTAGTTGGAAAAGACAGATACTAAGAACAACAACAATAATAACAAAAACCCTTTGATTACCATGAATGTTTGCCATGGTTTGGTGTTGATAGTTTATAAAGCTGGCTGATTCCATTAAAAAGTCTATAAGACACTTCTGTTAAGTTGAGGAAGCATCGATACTAACACCCTGAAGAAAAACATCACTATAAAAAAAGCACAATTACAAACTGAATTCATGGTTTGTAATTTACCATTAAAGCTTCCTCTTAGATCTTAATGTGATGATCTAATGAAAATTTGTAAAATATAAAACTAAATTTATACTATTTTACTGCAGGTGTACATTTTAAATAATACGTCATTCTCCTTGGAAAAAGGAAATTCAGGAAAAACTGTCTTTCTTTTCCTAAACTTTATAAAACATAATCAAACCAATTTTTATACCAAAAAATAATTCCAGGTTAACAAAGAATAATTAAAAATGTTTATTTTTAAAAAGGCTGATGTAAATAGTTCCCACATCTTTGAAGAAATAAAAACATTTTCCCAGGTGATCTCATGTCTTCTGTAGGAAGCAGGCCTTGACTCTTACCGAGCGGCTCATCAGGGTTCCCATGAGGACAAGCAAAATAGAACATAAGTATCCTCAAAATGAGATGGGATTCCACAATGCAAACATTTGCAACATTGAATTTTCTCTAAAGATTTTGCTTGTCAAAAATAATTTTACTTCAAATGATTTTTTTGGTAAACACTTTGTTTTGAGTTAATTATAGAGTCAAAGAACATTGCTAAGAACCATGAAAAGGAAATCCCCTGTATCATTCCTCAAATCTCTCCACACTGAATATAATACATATTTGTAATGCAGAGCAAACTAAGAAATTGACGCTGACACAATTGATAAGGCCACTCTGATTCCACCAGTAATACATGCAGCTATTTGTAAGCATGTGCAAACATTCATAAATTTTACTGTATTTATAGACTGGACAATCGACAAATAGATCACATCACCCACCTGTTCATCACTACAGTAATTCTTCTAAGCACTGGTTTGCAAATCTTAGGAGTATCTTTGACCACTAGTCACTGGAAATCACCTATCAATTTCTAACAGCACTGTTTTGCTATTTCATAACTGCTGCATAAATGAAATGATGCTGTGTCTCCTTTTGAGATTAACTTTTTGCAGTCATCATGATTTCCTTGAAGTTCATACAAGCTGTTTGCATATTAATTTTTCAGGTTCTTTCATTGCTGAGCAGTGTCCCAGAGTCAAGGCACACCACTAGTTGTCTAACCATTAACTCACTGAAGGATATTTGAGTGGTTTCAAGCTTTGGGATAACACAAATAAATTTGCTATGAATTTCCAAGTACAAGTTCATATGTGAAAATATTCATATCTCTGGAGTAAATACTAAAGAGTTCAACTGTTTTGTTGTGAAAGTTAGTTCATATCAAGACTTTTAAAGGACACTGGATTTAGCCACAAACATGCCTTGCTAACTCAATCCAGCAAAGCATAATTACCTGGATATAATTGTGACAGTATATAGGAAATATCAATGTATTACTCAATGGTGTGGGGTGCTTACCTAGCTTGCATGAGTTATGATTTATGTCTCTAGCAGAGAAAAAAAACTAAGGGGAGGGAAAACACTGAAAATGGATGTAACTTTTCAAATCTTGAGTAATTAGCTAATAAGATTAATAATTGCAAAATTTAGAAATTATATAAATACACTGATAGAAAAATTCCATAATGGCATGTTTCTAATTGTAGACTTTAAGTACACTAATATAAATTATTTTTTTAAACTAATATCGATACAAATATTTACTCCAATTTTTCTCAAAATGTGTTCTTCAATGGTATTTCATATTTTCAAATAATTTTATTCAGACTCATAATACATATACTCTCATGTGAATGGGTAACTTATATCACTTGGTAGTGAATTGGCATTTCAAAGGCTGAGTTCAAATATATTTGTGGAGATATTTTTGAGTTCATTCAAGCTGAGCAGTACTTCTTATCTTTTGAAATGTCAGGTACCTTCTCTGAGGAAAATGGAAAAAGATCTCTTTTTACACATGATTACTTATTGTGGGAATATGGTTATGACTTCAGTCTTCAAAGCTCACGGTGAGGTAAAAATGTATACATCTGTATGCAGAAATTTCTCTTTTTTCTTAAAAAAGGAAAAGACTTACTAAACATAAGTCAGTTATATTAAATATTTTATGTCATTGGTTATATGTGAAGTCTCATTTTTATATCTTTCTATTTTGGTTTAAGATAGTTAAAATGATTATGCGTAATTATCCAATAACATTCTTGTACATATAAAAAAGCAGTATTCTAAAATATTTTAGTATGATTTCTGGAAAATAAGTATAGCACAAAAATATTAATAATGAAGAGTCAAATAAAACACAGACATGACCTTTACCCCATATGCTATATAATAAGGTACTGGATAACTTGTTTTATCAAAATATGGATATAAACGAATAAAACAATTTACACAATGGATTCAGAAATATATTTGTGCCGGGCGGTGGTGGCGCACGCCTTTAATCCCAGCACTCGGGAGGCAGAGCCAGGCGGATCTCTGTGAGTTCGAGGCCAGCCTGGGCTACCAAGTGAGTTCCAGGAAAGGCGCAAAGCTACACAGAGAAACCCTGTCTCGAAAAACCAATATATATATATATATATATATATATATATATATATATATATATATATATATATATATATATATTTGTATACACATAATACATAGCTGAAGTCTCAAATTATCAAAAAAAGTCATTAGATGAACTCTAACTCTTGCATGGATGAGCTACCCATCCTGATTGGAGATAGCAGAGGCTAAAAGATTTTTTTAAAGAGATAATCTGGAAGAATAAGGAATACAATTTAAGTCATGATTATGCAGTTAATTCAGTGATCAATAAAAAGAATAAAATTGTTGAAATTAAAAAAATTAAGGAGGCTTACATAATCATAAAATATGTCTTAACTCATTTGCCAATAACATTACAGAGAAGTAAAAATCTTTCTAGTAAAGATCAAGTAAAAACCAACAAGTATGAATAATAAGAAGGTAGGATTCTAATGATTAGATGTATAAAAAATGAAAAAAAAAATTATTGTCTTTATCAATGCAAAATAATTTTATATAGTGAAATAAACATACAAAGTTAATCAGAAATAATAGAGTGGGTTATTTTAGTGAGATAGTTAATTATGGTGTTAGGGCCATAAGACAGTGCTTAAGGTAAGGTATATGAGTCCATGAATTCTATGCATGTTCAATGTTAATGGAAGTATAAAATAATCAGAGATATCTTGTGTTTTGGGGGGAATATTTGTAATTAAACATTTTTTTCATACAATATATTTTGCTTATGGTGTTTCTTTCCCCCAACTCCTCCCAGTTTCCCTTCCTCTTACTCCCCTAACTTTATGTTCTTTCTTACTCTGTCTCTCTCTGTCTTTCTCTCTCTCTCTCTCTCAAAAGAAGACAAAATACTAAGAAATAAAAATAAAAACAAAACAATAAAGAAAAAAAGACCTACAAAATAAAGAATAGAGAAGCAAAGGACTAATAGGAAAAAACAAAAACAAAACAAAAAGACCAGAACAATTCTATTGAGTACAGTGTGTTGACCAAAAGTTCCTAGGCACGAACACCCAGAACTGTGCACTCCATTGGAGAAAGCTGCCTTTCCCATGACAGCAAGTATCAGTTGAAGAAAACTTCTTGGTTAGGGTTGGGAGCTCATGTCCACTTCTGTCTCTCAGTTCTGGGACCTCACCTGGCTTGAATATGTGCAGGTCCTGACTGTGCTGCCACAGTCTCCATGAGTTTATATGTTCATCAGCCCTGTTGTATCTACAAGACACTGCTTTTTTGGTGACATCCACCATGTCTGGTTCTTAGAAACTTTCTGCCTGCTCTTCTGCAAAGATCCCTGAGCCTTGTGTGATCAGGGGGTTTGATAAAGATATCCCCTTTATAACTGAATGCTCCATAGTCTCTTACTCTCTGTACATTCTTCAGTTGTGGGACTCTGTATTAGTACCCTTCTACTAGAGGAAGAAGTGTCTTTCATGAGGGCTGAGCAAGGCACTGATCTATGGTTACAGCAGTAGGTCATTAGGAGTCATTTTATTCCTTGATAGAATATTAGTACTAGGTTTTTCTCTAGGCCCACCACCTTTCTAATCGCAGGTCTTGACTCTTTTATCAGTGTCTGGTATGTATTCCATCTTATGAAGTGTGACTTAAAGCAAATCAAAAAGTGTTTGGTTATTGCCAGAACGGTCATGCCCCTGCTGCATCAGCATATTTTTCAGGCAGGCCACTGTTGTAAGTCACAGGGTTTGTAGCTGAGGGATGTTGATTATCGCCATTCTCCTCCAGTAGCATGCTGAGTACCTTCCGGTGCTAGAAACACTAGTCATTAAGGGTGAAGCCTAGGTTGTTTGGGGTTTCCCTAGTGCTCCTCTGACCAATGACTCAACAAAATGTAATTTATTCCTGGCACTGGAGGTTTTACTTGATGACACAACGTGTTGATTAAGAAAACTGTCTCACATATTATTAAGTGATTCCATTTGGATTACTTCCATATATGTGTATTTTGGAAAGCTTTTACAGTAATAGGTTTCCATGTGGTTTTTTTCAAATATCCGATAGTGTTATTTACCCCCCCCCCCCCACATTCCCTCCTTTACCTTTCCCAACCGTCTTCCCTATTTAAACCTCCTAGTCTACTTTCCATGTTTTAAAATATTCACATTTATTAAGTATCAAAAGTATTTAACCTATATATACCGTCTTGCTTTTTCAGTAGCATTAAAATTATCATGAATCTGAAGGCATTAATATGGAGAAAATGGCCATCCTACCCAGAACAATCCACAAATTCAATGAAATCCCTGTAAAAATTTCAACAGGATTTTTCACTGAAATTGAAAGAATTTTCAGTGACATATAGAAACATACACACACACACACACAAAAAAAAAAAACCAACAAAGATAGCTAAAACAATCTTGAATAATAAAAGGACGGCTGGAGGTATCTCCATCCCTGACCTCAAATTGTACTCTTGTACTACAGAGGTAATATAAGCAGAATGGCATTGACACACAACTGAGAAATTTATCAATAGAATCAAATTGAAGGTCCAGACATAATTCCACAAAGACAAAACAACAACAGCAAGAATGACAAACAACAAAGAACTAGAAAAAGGACAGCATCTTCAACAAATTGTGCTGGAAAACCAGATAGCTACACGCAGAGGAGTGCAGATAGATCTATACTTACCACCCCTCACAAAATTCACTTCACTTGGATCAAGGCCTTCAACATAAGGCCAGATACCAAGACTCTGATAGAAGAGAAAGTGGGGAAGAATAGTCTTGAACTAATTGACACAAGAAAAGACTTTTTGAACAGAACACTGATAGCACAGGCACTAAGAATAACAATTAATAATGGGACCTAATGCAACTGAAAAGCTTCTATATGGCAAAGGACTCCATCATTTGGACAAAACAGCAGGCTACAGAATGGGAAAATATCTTCCCCAATTATACATGTAATAGAGGGCTAATATCTAAGCTACATAAAGAACTCAAAAAGTAGACATCAAGAAAACAACCCAATTAAAAATAGAATATGGAACCAAATACAGAGTTCTCAAAAGTTAAAACCCCAATGGCTGAGGAACACATAAAGAAATGTTCAACATCCTTGGTCATCAGTAAAATACAAATTAAAATGACATTAAGATTTAATCTTACACCCATAAGAATGGCCAAGGGTAATAAAACAAGTGTCGGCTCATGCTGATGAGGATGTAGGGTAAGGGTAACACCCATTCATTTCTGGTGGGGGTGCAACCTTTCCATAGTGGTGGGTCCACTATGAAAATCAGTGTGGTGGTTTCTCAGGAAGCTGGGAATAGATCTACTTCAAGATCTAACTATACCTCTTCTGGGTGGTACGACTACAGGCATATCTATAGAGCCTAAGTACTGTACATCCTACTAAATGAACACTTGCTCATCCATGTTCATTGCTGCACTATTCATGATAGCCAAAAATTGGAAACAGCCTAACTGTACATTAGCAGATGAATGGATAATGAAATTGTGATATATTTATACAATGTAATATTACTCAGCTGTTAAAAATGAAATCACGTAGATCTCATCCATTTCTCCATCACTGGGCAATCCATGCATCCTTCCTAGGGTACTCCTTACTAACTAGCTTCTCTGGAGCTGTGGGTTGTAGTCTGGTTATCCTTTGCTTTATATCTAGTATCCACTTATGAGTGAGTACATACTATGTTTGTCCTTCTGAGTCTGAGTTACCTCACTCAGGATGATATTTTCTAGTTCCATCCACTTGCCTGCAAACGTCATGTCATTGTTTTTTTTCTGCTGAGTAGTACTCCATTATATATATGTACCACATTTTCTTTATCCATTCTTCAGTTGAGGGACATTTAGGTTGTTTCCAGGTTCTGGCTATTACAAATAATGCTGCTATGAACATAGTTGAGCATGTGTCCTTGTGGCATGATTGAGTATTCCTTGGTTATATGCCCAAGAGTGGCATAGCTGGATCTTGAGGAAGATTGATTACCAATTTTCTGAGAAACTGTCATACTGGTTGTACAAGTTTGCATTCCCACCAACAGTTTAGGAGTGTTCCCCTTGCTCCACATCCTCTCCAACATAAACTTTCTTCAGTGTTTTTGATCTTAGCCATTCTGACAGGTGTAAGATGGTATCTCAGAGTCATTTTGATTTGCATTTCCCTGATGACTAAGGATGTTGAACAATGTCTTTCAGCCATTTGAGCTTCTTCTGTTGAGAATTCTCCATTTAGCTCTTTAGCCCATTTTTTAATTGGACTGCTAGGTATTTTGATGTCTAGTTTCTTAAGTTTTTTATATATTCTGGAGATCAGCCTTCTGTCAGATGTGGGGTTGGTGAAGATCTTTTCCCATTCTGTAGGCTGTAGTTTTAGCTTATTGACCATATCCTTTGCCCTACAAAAGCTTCTCAGTTTCAATAGGTCCCATTTATTAATTGTTGCTCTCAGTGTATGTGCTACTGGTGTTACATTTAGGAATTGATCTCTGGTGCCAATGTGTTCAAGACTACTTCCTACTTTCTCTTCTATCAGGTTCAAAGTAACTGGCTTTTTGGAACCTAGTACCTATGGTGGGACACTTTGTGCATCCTTGGTGAAGGAACGAGGGGTTTGGACCTGCTCAACTGAATGTACCAGACTCTAATGACTCCCCATGGGAGACCTTGCCTTAGAGGAGGTGGGAATGGGGGGTGGGTTGGGGAGAAGGCTGGGGGGTGGGAGGAAGGAGGACAGGGGAATCTGTGGTTGGTATATAAAATGAATAGAAAATCTCTTAATAAAAAATTATATAAAAATGAAATCACAAAATTCTCAAGGGGATGGATAGAGCTAGACCAAAAAAAAATCGTTCTGGGTGAGATTACACAAATGTGAAAGGACAAATATGGTATGTATTTCCATATACGTGAGTCTTAAATCTTATGCCATCATTAGGCATTCTACTAACCACAGAGGTTAGGTAACAGTAAGGAACCATGGGGCAAGGGAAGGAAACCCTAAGGTAGGAGAAATAGACTATATAGTATGCAGAGAGAGAAGGGTGGCTGTAAAGAGTGAATTAAATGGAGAAGGGGAGGAATGAGAAAGATAAGGGAGGGAATACATGGAGAGACAGCAAACTCTAAATATCATTTGAGGGGTTATATGGAAACCTACTACAGTTAAAACTTCTTAAAATATATACATGTATGAAATAAATTTAAATAGAATCACCAAATAACAGGGATACAATGTGCCAACTAAACCTCTCTTTTAATCAAGAGAAATCTCTAGTGCCAGGAAAGGCTTATATCTAATTGAATTGTTGGCCAATGCAGTCCATGGAACTTTCCAAACAACTTATACTATTGCCAAGACTATTGAGTACTCTCCCCAAACAGATGGTAAGCTCTATTGATGATGACACCACCTACATATCATTTAACATGGACAGAAAACAAGATGGTGCCGAATTAGTGCATCTACTCCTACTGACTAGTGGTGTTGGAAGGTACTCTGCACTATCAAAGGAGAAAAGCTAAATATCAATCTATCCACAAACCCTTTGATCTCCACTGTTGACCTGTCTGTATGCTACACTGATGCAATACTGGCATAAAAGTTGAGAGTCTGACAAACTACAATATACGATTGGCTTTAAGGCCCTCTCTATGATGGAACTCATCCTCAACACTGCTCTGGCGGCCATGAACCTGAGACTCAGTAGGCCATGAACC